TTCCAGTCCTGAAATTAATTGCTTTAAGGAGCAGCAGCCTTGCTTTTTGCCTTCCATCTGGGCCAGCTCTGCTGATGAAAGGGACCTTGTTCAGCTGTGAAACTTGGTTTTCACTTAGGGGAAGGTTGCAGAGGAAGTTAAGAGGCAGAGCAAGGCCGTGGTTATTCCTGCCCCTGCTCAAAGTGGGGGTCCTATATGTGACTTGTGGCCTTGCTGCAGCACGTGGGGAAGGATGGAGGATTCCTGGATGGGAAGCTGGTGCTGGGACCTGCTGGGGTTGGGAGAAATTGCCCCTATCTGAGACCCTCGGGGACCCTGTGGACAGCCAGCAGGGCAGCAGACTCGGTGAGGGCAAAAGAGCACGAGCAGTGAATAAGCAACGCGGAGGCTGCACGAGCGCTGCCCTGCTCCTCAGCCTCCCCCAGCTCCACCGCACCGCCCGCCCTAGCACCAAAAGGTTTCTCTTGCCTGGAGAGCCGATGGTTCGGGGCTATGCAACTAAACCTGGCGGTTAAAATCCCACCGAATGGGGTGGGCAGTGAAGGAGGAAAGGCGAGCAGAGCTGTGTGAGCAGAGCTACGAGGTGCTGCACAAGCGCTGCGGGGCAGCAGCCGCGTGTGACCCAGCCCAGGGCAGCTCCCTAACGTCTGAACATCTGACCCCAGCACGGGCACCGCTGCGTGCCAGGGGATTAGGTGCCAGCACACAGCACTGTCACACGGATCTCCCTGCCGATGGCTTATTCAAATGACAGGAAAAGTACATCCAGCAGCTGAGCCCAGACAAACTCGGTGGAGGAATGTGGCTCTGTGCAAGCGTTTGCTGTGAGATCTGCAAAAAGAACAAAATCCACAAGTGCAGCATGAGATGGGAAAGGAAGATTTCAACATGTGTACAAGAGGGCAGAGCGCCTGTTCCCAAAACAGCTGGTGGTGACAGCTGGATGGGCAGTTGCATCAGGCAAGCTTGTGATTATTAAAAAATAAATATATAAAAGAAGATGACTAGTCACAGCACCTGCAGCACCTCTTTGCATGTGGCTTCTGGTGCTCGCTGACATCTGCACTACTTTGCCAGGACACTGTGAGTATCCCCAGCTGGGCCGTTTGCCTGCAGAGGAGCTCTGCCCCTTCCCAGCATATCCTCTCTCTCTCCAGGGTATTTTCCTTCCAGTTTAAAGGGGAAAGAGCAATATGTGTCCTTATTCTGTTCCACTTGGGTGTATCACAGCCCACTGTGCGCCTGGAAGAAATGGGGCCAACTTGGAGCTGCCACGATGGGCTGCTTGATGATTGCAACTGCACACGGAGCGCTGCAAGGGCCAGGATTTCACTGTATGAGCCCCAGAGGAGCCCAGCTACCCAAGCAAATCTTCCTGGTGTGACCTCCTGCCGCGGTGTGCGGGTAGCGTGGCCGGTGCTGGTGCCGGTGCTGGTGCCAGGAATGGGACCTTTCTGCACCTCATCTGAAATCTGCTTCTTCCACACGATCCCCCCGGGCATCCTTACTGACCGGCGGTGCCTGCAGCTGAGCTCTCCCTTGCCCAGGCCTGACAACCCTGAACCACACAGTCCCACCTCTACCAAGAGTCAGCAGAACCCTTGGCCCTTCTGTGTCCACCGCCAGGCTTTCCTATGTCAGAACCTCAGGGCTGCTCTGGAAAGAGGCAGTTCCTGGGACTGCTTGCTTAGCATGCTCCATTTTGCAGCCCTATTTCCATAACGATTCGTTCTGGACATTCTCTCCCCATATGCGCCCGGCTCTGCGCTGCGAGCAGCTCCGGGATCCCGCGCCTGTCCTCCTGCAAGGCTCTGTGCTGGAAGCGACGCTGCAGCTCGCCAGCAGACAGGTACCTAAATACGGAAGCCTGTGCCTAATTAATGACCTCAAACCGCCTGCAAAGACCATCCTTTTATGAAGAGCGTGCTCGAGGTGCATGTGCTGAGCAAGATCCTCCTGCTGCCCCTCGCACAGGGCCCGGGCTGTTCGGGATGGGAGGCTGCCAGGGGCAGCTCTCAGCAGCAGCAGTGGTCGTGTTGGGGCTCGTTTGTTAGTGCAGAAGGGAAGGGCAGCACTGCCCCTCACCCGGCTCCCCTGTGGGATGGCTCTGCTCTGCCAGGGAGCTGGTTCAGGAGAACAGAGAGAACAGGCTCTTTCTACGCTGGATTTGCACTCATGATCCTTATGATGTGTATCGTGTTGTGAGCAGCACACACTGAAGAGCTGAGCATCTGGATGCAAAAGCCAGAAGCTGGATATAAAAATCATATTTTACTATTTTTTTCTTCCTTGAAGCTTTTCTGTAGTCTTCCAGAGGCTTCAAATTTGAGATTCTTGTCTAAGGCCATGACTCTGAGAGTGGAGGCTTTATGAATCTTGCACATTGCCACAAAGCAGGGGCAGGCTCGCTAAGGTGGCCATCCCGTAGCACAGGGCACACTGCAGGTGGATGCAGAGATCCAGCAGTTTGGGGCTACTGTGTGTCTTGAGAACTGGGCATAGTCATGACATGACTTGGAAAGAAAACAAAGAGCAGGTTTGACATTACAGGGTCACTTTGCAGGCAGCTCTGAGCACTGCTCCTGCTCATGCCCATGAACACATGGAGATATCTTGAGCAGGAGGATGGTGGCAGTGCAAGGTGAGTGCTTGCTCGGGCAGGTCGCCTGCATCTCATCTCCTGCAGCCACAAGGAGAGCACAGAGCAGAAGTTGGCCCAGCCCAGCACCTTGTCAGTGCCCTCCCTGGTCTTGGGTGATTCTGAAGAAGCTTTGGTGAGTCTCTTCACCCTTCGGTGACTCCTCTTCATCAGTCTGTGGTTCTGGGTCAGTAGCACAGGCCATCTTCTAGGGCTTTGAAAGGGCTCCTTATGAAGTTGATCTTGTTTTCAGTGGCCATTGCAGTACTCAGCCCTGCTCTCCAGGCCTGGGGAAGATGTCACCGTGCGGTGGTTGTTGTCTTAGGCACAGACACCTGGGCATTCACGTGTTTGCTGAGAGCCCTGCAGTGTGCATGGCTGAGTGCACGTCAGCCACCTCGGGCTCCGTTTCCAGGTTATAAATGGCAGCTGCAGACTGTCCCTGTCCCGGGCAGAACAGCTCAGCGGCGCCAAGCAGCGCCATTTCCCCCGGTCCTGCCTGCCCTCAACGGCGCCTGCTGTCCCAAGCAGAGCCATTTCCCCCTGTCCTGCCCACCCTCTGTCCTGGCCGGCCCTCTGTGCTCTCCAGCTCTCAGACCTGCCTCTTCTCACCCCTGCTCCATGCCTCCTGGGTGCCTCTGGCTGCGCAGGGTGAGGCTCATAACACGGTGTGTGGGGAGGAAGGCGACGGCTCCCTCCATGTCACACTCATCGGCCCATGTGTCCAGCATGGAACCTCAATCGGTAGCACCAAGTGTCATTAAAGCCACCTGAAAAGGAGTGAGGAAGAAGAGGCCACGAGTGCGGGGGATCAGGACTGGACTGCTGTGGGAGCAACCTGTGCGCTCTGAGCTTCTAGGTACGTCGCTGCTGCTCCTTCTCTACTGGGGCTGCCTGGGCTGCTGGTGGCCCCCGGGCTGAGTGGAGCTGAGCCAGGGGCTGGAGCGGGTCCCTGCGGCTGGGCAGGGGGCTGTGAGCAGCTCCACCCCGTGCCTGCTCCTCGCGCGGGGCTTCCTGCGGGGCTCGGGGTGCGGGGCTCGGGGTGCGGGGCTCGGGGTGCGGGGCTCGGGGTGCGGGGCTCGGGGTGCAGGGTGCGGGGCTCAAGGTGCGGGGCTCGGGGTGCGGGGCTCGGGGCGCGGGGCTCGGGGCTCAAGGTGCGGGGCTCGGGGTGCGGTGCCCCTTGCAGTGCGGCGCCGCCACCAGCAGGTGCCACTGCCCCGCCGCGCTGCGGGGCCGCGCCGCCCGCCGCGCCCGGCCCGCTGCCCTTCGGCCCGGCCCGCTGCCGTTCGGTACCTCCGGGAGCGATCGCGGCTCCCGCCGCGCACAGACCCCTCGCTCGGGTTGCCCTGCGCCCCCGTGGGTGCCGGCACCCGGTGTCCTCCCCGGGGCTGCGCGCGGACACCCGAGCGCAGCCGAAGCGCGGCGGGAAGGAGCTGCCCCGCGTCCACCCCCTTCACTCTCCCCGCCCCGGCCGCGCGACCTGCCGTGGGCGCCGCTGGCACTGCTGGCACCGCTCTCCTCCCTCGCAGGCTGCCGCTGCCGCCCGGGGGACAGCAGGGGAGCGGGGAGGCTGCGGTGGGCACGAGGTGCCCGAGGGCTGCGTGCGGGACGGAGTGCGCGTGGGGCGAGCAGCGCGGTGCAAGGAGGCAGGGCGAGCGGCTGTGAGCGCTGGGCTGTGTGTGTGAGAGTGTGAGTGTGTTTGTGTGAGAGAGTGCGAGTGAGTGTGAGTGTGCATCGTCAGTGTGCACGGTGTGTGCTCAGTGTGTGCGCGGGGTGTACTCCGCGTGCGCTCAGTGCGTGTGTGGTGCTGGGGGGAGTGTGTGCACGGTGTGCGTGTGTGCAGTGTTTGCGTGTGTGCGCGGTGTGTGCACGCGGTGAACGTTCGTGTGTGCAGTGTGTGTGTGTGTGTGTGCGAGGGGTGTCGGTGCGTGCCCGGTGTGTGCGAGGCTGTTCCTGTGTTGTGTGCGCGGTGCGGGGTGTGCGCGCCCGGGGGCAGCTCCCACGTGGGGCTGACGCGGCAGCCCGGCCCGATGCGGGGCTATAAAGCGGCCGGGCGACGAGAGAGGCAGAGCAGCCGCCGCCGGCTGCCGCCCCGCGCCGCCCCGCGCCCAGGTAAGCGGCCCCCGGCCCGGGCAGCGCGGCCGATG